TAGCCGTTACCTTACGCAACACTTTCAGAAGCGCTTCCTTCTCTCTGCTGATGGAAGAGAGACTATGGGTCTCACATGGGGAGCCTGTGGAGACCTTCAGGTGAGCACCAGAGCCGCAACCCAAGTGACTCACAGAAGCTTCAACAGGCCCCTGCAGGGGATACTGTAGAGGCAGCCTTGCCCACTTCAGTACAGGCAAGCCGAGGAAAATAGAAAACACTTCATCAGAAATCAGAGCATATGTTTTATTATCCTCGCTTCCTTGTTTTTTTTCTGCTATAAAAATCATCGTGCATTTGTACAGTATTCTTATTCTGGGAATGTCTTTCAGCCCACATAAACATCTGCACTTAGTTACATTAGCCAGTATCCACATCCCAGCAAGACCCTGCCCTGATTATTTCGCTAGGAGTGTTTTTGCCAGCTTCTATTCCCAGAACACACTGGATTTATAGCTATGTCCAACATCCAGCTTTGTTGGTTAGAAGATTGTAACACACATGCTCAAACTGAAGGCCTTTTGTACTAGGACAAAGTCTTTCCAGCAGGCTTAAGTAACAAGCCATTAATTTGTGCTAGCATATTTCATTAGCAGCAGGAAAGTGAACTATTGTTGGATACAATTTGCCGGTCTGTATTTTTAATTATACTGTTTGACCTACATCTTTTGTCCAATTTCCTTAATGTTTAGCCATAAAATATGACCCTAGATTCAAATGCTAACAAAATCTGTTGTGGCAATTTTGCGTAAATTGGCATAAAAGAGCCCAGATTTTGAGTAAATAAACCAATTAGTCTTTTTTTGGATCACTGTGAGTTTTTGTCTGCTGCCCTGTATAGCTAGATTCAAAACATTCATAAAAATAAGAAATATATGGTTTCATCTGAGAAGACAAACAAAAACATGCAGGATATAAATCAAAACAAGGATCTGTAAAAGAGTAGAGCAAGCACTTATTAAGCCAAAACATATTGTTCTTGTGAAGAAGACTGCTCTGACCACTGTGCTTTCTCCAAATGTACGGTTATGCATTTTCAAGCCAGAAACTTTTTGGAGCATAAGACATGAAGCATTCAGATCCCAGCAAAATTCACTGTGATCTGCCTGCCTAATTCTCCAGAAGCTGAACCTCGTCAATGCTTGTGCATAAGCGTAACTTCACCACTGCAGTTTCTGCAGAATTATTCATCGCTGTATATTTCTATGAAGACTTATTTTATGTGATTGATAACTGCCTCAAACTGTGAACATGCTAATAAATAAATACGTAAGCTGATCTCCTATCCTACCCCACCTCCCCAAGGCACAACCTGAAAACAAATTTTCTGCGTTTCTTCAAGCAAGAAAACTTGTTTGGGATACACTTGCTTTGTATCTGGTTTGACTCTCTCAGCCCGTGCTGAAGTGTATCTGCTTTGCTTTAGTGTGTGAAAACACATGTGCTTTCACATAGGAGAAATAAGCTCCTGTAAAAAAGCAGCATCGAAGAATTATTAAAATACAATGAAATCTTCCAAGTTGAAATACAAGTGATGTACCCCTGTCAACCAACGTAAGCTCACATAACCTACATTCCTATTTTCCCCTCTCAAATCCCAGCTCCTGGTTGTGAGCAAGACAGCTTTTTCAGCTCCCCGTCCCACTCTGAAGCAGGCAGAGATGTG